GGTTCTGACCCATAGCAACCCTGTATAGGGTTTCCAAGGAGCAGCTGGTGAGCTTGAACCACCGACCTTGCAGTTCAAACGGTTTTGCAGTCTGGCGCATTAACCCACCACACCACACTAGGACACCGTTAAGCATAGTTAATTGGCTAGTACATAAATCCTTTACATTTGATGACCTAGGCAAAGCAGATCTGGCCTCCCTGGCCATGCTTGCTCTTGCTGGCATCACTTTTACCCCAATACCCAGGCGTGAAAGCGTGGAGACAGCATGGACTCCTTTCTTCCCCTCATTTCCTGGCCAGCTAGCTAGGTCATTTCCTTCTCCATCCATCCTACTTCACACTTGGCTTTTGCCTCTCTCCACCTGACTCACAGAAACCATAACCTCCCTTCAGCAAGCAAACCCCACTCCTGCTCAGCTGAAGAACTAAACTAACCTCCACATAGAGCCCAGTGGGCACCTGGGGGTTATCTAGGGCTTAGCACTAGTGGAATACCAGGAAAGAGAGGATCTAGACCTATCCCTGTCAATGTGCTGTTCCATAAAGCTGGGAGGACAGCAAGAGACTCCTGGGAATTGACATTGAGGGTTGGAAATGTAACAAAAGGAGGGGAGTGGTTGGTTTGCAGTCCAGGAGCGGAAGTCCCTGGGACCATCAAGGGAGAAGAGTGGAGTGTGGGACCCTATCCAGAGAAGCAGGGACGCCAGAGATGGAGGCAGAGACTAAGACATGGAAAGATGGAGTGGCTGGGGACTCTGGACTCGGGGAGAGAGAGGGGCTGTGTGCTGACAGCCAGAGAGCAGACTTGCAGGGTATACCCTTTGGTTGTTTGATAATCCAATGGAGAGGATGTAATCATTGCTATGAAACAAACTAAGATAGGATGAATGTAAAGGTAATGTTCTCCCATGTAAACTATCACTTAATTCACAATAAAAACTTAAAAAAAAAAGAGACTGCTAGGAGCAGAGAATGGGTCACATGCTAAGCCAGGTACAGAGCAGAGTCAAGCAGCTTTAGCTGGATACCAAGAGCTTCATCTCCATGGGACTGGTGGAGGGGAGCAGGAGAGTGTAACTGGACCCTCTGGGACAGAGCCATTGTTTGACTTGCCTATGTCCACTCACCCAGGATCACCACTAGCCAGGACTCTTTGGCTTTGGCTCCATTTCCCTGTGTAGGCCTATAGTGCTCTGGTGCCTCTTGCCTCTCTCCCCTCCTCTTTTCCTGATGTGAGAGTTGCCCTGAGGAACCCAGCTCTGTCTTTCTAGGAACCTAGGGCAGAGATGAACCAGAGAGGATACAGGGTCACAGAACTTGGTCAATCAACTGACAAGAGAAAATTAGATTCATGCATAATAAAAACAAAACAAATGTCTATTAACATACATGGTCTTAATTCTCAATGTAAAAGATGGAAATAAAAACAATGATATGATTTTTGCACTGAGCAAACTGATAAAAGCCAAGATATATCCCATGTTGCAGTGCTGTGGGCTAATAGGTTGTCTCATATGTTACTGGATAGGAATGTTCATTGGTACAGCTTTGGGGAGCAACTTGTACCAGAATTTAAAATACATTCACTCTGACCTTGCCAATTCTTTTAGAAATGGAAACTAACAAACATGCAAAATATAGACAAATAAAAGGGCTGCTTATAATTGTAAAAAATTAGAAGTAACCAACATGGCCATCCAGAGTCCTGATTAAACACACAATGGTATATCCATAGATATCACAGACCTGTACTTACAGAAAGCTGTCCACAACCTATCAGGGAGATAAAAGCAATTCACAAAACAGAATGATTCAAATTTTGTAATTTGAATTTATAATTATAAAATGAAGAGACACTCACCAAATTTTTAACACTGAGATATCGAATGACTTCAACTTGTTTATGGGTCTGGCGCTGTAGGATACATGCAGGACCTCAAGGTTGGTTTGAACCATATGTCTATAGTTCAAACTCACCAGCCACTTCTTGGAAACCCTATACTAGGGGACTGAGTTGGAATCAACTGAAGGCACTTAACTACAAAGGTTAGTGTTTAAATTCCTAGTATGGTGCTTCAGGATAAGGCACGGGGACACAGGTCTGTTCGAACCATAAGGTCAGCAGTTCAAACTCACCAGCCACTCCCTGGAACTGAATCAGAACTGACTTGAGGGGACTTAACATCGGCTAATGTTTGGCTACTAACTAAAAGGCTGGCAGTTCAAATCCACTACCCATTCCTCAGGTCTGCTTCTGTAAAGATTTAAAGCCTTGGAAATCCTATGGGTTTCCTGCTTTGAGTCAGAATCAACTGGTTAGCAGTGGATTTGGTTTTCGCTGGTCTTATTTTTCTATGCTTGGATTTTTACACCTAGCGTTATTATAAAAATCTCAACCTATGTTCATTTTAGAAAACAAGACAAAAAAATATAAACAGTAAGCACGAATGTTTTTATTATGACACAAACTTGTAATTTATGTTAGCTCAGTTTACAGTGAAGACATTGCATTTTATGTACAACTATAGAGAATGTAACATGGATTGTGCTATAAAAGTTCATTGATCATTTGATACATAAATTGGAAAATATTTACTCTGTAGAAAACAGTTAAAAATGATTGAACATTTTCCAGACTAGCTCAAGTCCATTTAAACCAAAGAATAGCTGAATCATATGGTTTGAATTCTAGGATCCAGGGAAAACCTTAACTTCACTTATTCTTAAAGCCAAGTTGTTCTTAAAATTAAGGTGCATAAAATGAAGTCCCTAGTAAAAATCCCACACACTGCCCTTCTTATTCTTAGGTTGCATCTGATTTTTTTCCCCTTTAGGCTAATCAACACCAAGATTTTAGCTGTCCATCCTTGTAGGACAGATACCAGTTTCTTTAGGCATCACCCCTAAATCATGAAATGTTTTGGTGGTGATTAAAGCATGCCCAGTATTTGGGCAAAAAAAGAAATCTAATAACTTACAATCCACAAGGCACTTGTGTTGAGTGATCAAACACCTTCCCCAAACTCTCTGTGGCTTCATAGGAGGCCATGAGGGAAAGGGGTAGAAATGATAAAATCAACTAGTGGATCAAGAAATAAAAGCCAACAATTTCTGAGTGGGCAAGAAACACGTAGTCAAAATTCAAGGACAGAAACAAAGTTCAAATAGGAAAAGGAGGTTGCCTCAAAGGATGGTCTTGGTTACACAGTCATTGCACCACAAGGTGACCATGTCAGAGGAAGTTAGATATAAAGACTGGAGTCAGTTACGGAAATAAAAGCCTAGAAAGATTTTATTTGGTTTTGATTTATTCAAAATAATTAAATGAAGATGAGATAGACCATATTTTAAATTCTCATTACAATTTATGGGGTCCTGGTATGATGCTGTAAGATAAGCAATGGGCTGCTAACCACAAGGTTGGTGGTTCAAACTCACCAAACACTCATTGGAAATGACTAAATGGCACATAACAACATCATCATTATGGTTTATAGGCTTGCTGTGAGTAGGAACTAACTTGATAGCACCTAATAATAATTATTATTATGGTTTATCCCCTGAGACTCTCAGTACAAAATTTCTAGAAATTAAAGGGAAGCATACCATGCCGTTCTTCAATTAAGCTCCTGAACCACGGAACCAAAAATCTGAGTTAGAAATAATACCTGGGAACCCAGTCTGAGTTATCTGGCTCCAGTTCCCTCAGATAAACTACAAAAAAACAAAACCCCACATAGTTAGACTTAAAAGGAAGCTTTAAAACCTTTCAATGGAGTTAACAGTTAGTTCAAAGAAACAGATTCTACAACGGAGTAATAACCAGCCCTTTTAAGAAATTAAATTGGATATTTTATACCTAAAACTTCAGCTTGCTTACTGTAAGGGAACCAACCTTATAAAAAACGCTCCATTAAATATTCACCATTAAAAGAATGCCTTATCATACATTTCAACCCTTTGTAGCTCTAGTTTTTAAAAGAAAAAAACCTAAACAGTATGAAATAGTTTGAATTAGTTTCCTTCCTGCATGAACTTTTGGACACACTCATCTGCAATGCAAATCTATGTTCCCTCTTTCCTTAATTCCTTCTTGGTAAATAATGTTTATCTTCCAATAGGAAGAAGTGGAGTACATTATCACTCAAGCACCAGTTATCCAGCCTCCTACTTACAAATAAAGTTATGAACCATCTTAGGATTTGGAATTCCTTACAATTACTTGCTTTCTAATAAATGTACATCTTTATACAAAAGGGCTTCAAAAGTTCATGAAAAATGAAACAAGCTCATGGAATTTTTTCCACTAACTTTTTGAAGCTTCCATTACCTGTGAAGTAAGAAATCACTATAGTACATTGAAACCCCTTAGACTAAAAAGCTTAAAGTTGTAATACACATAAAAACGAAAGCTCATATATGTAGCATCTCTTTCCTCACATGTTTCCTTCCAACTCTAAAGCACACACTGGCATAAATGGTCTTACAAATCCAGCAAAGTTTGAAATTTTGCTTCATAACATTGCTTAGTACTAAATCTCAGAAGACATAGAAGTACTCGAGTACTTGTTTGGCATGTGGCTTACAAATGCCAATTACAGACAAAGCTTTGATTGCTCAAAGTGGGTCTTCTGAGACTGCTGCATTCCCTTAGGTATTAACTTCAGGGAAGGACACTATCAAGAGATACTTCTGAGTATAAAAGGCCAACAACTTACAAAGTGTAGAAAGATAACAGGCTCAACTTTATCTTGGAATCTATAATCATTCAAATGAAAACATAATGTATGTATATATCTTTCCACAAGGATAACAATACAGAAGTAGCAACAAAGTTACAAATGATAATCAGCAGATCAAATAACAGATGAAGGATGAAGACTGGTCAAGTGGTAAAAGCCAAGTACAATGTACTTTTCACTGTGTCTGAAAAACGCCAGTTTCACTCCATGATGCCAAATACAGTTCTCTTTTGTCATAGAAGTCCTCCACTTCAAGTTACTGACCAAAGGCTTTACTGAAATTCCGCTTCTGGCCTCTGTTATTTCTGTTGCCACCTCCTCCAGATCGCTGTCCCCTGAAGCCGCCTCTGCCTCCACCTCCACCTCCTTCCCGCCGTCCCCTGAAGCCTCTGCCTCCTTCCCGCTGTCCCCTGAAACCTCGATAGCCTTCCCGAGGCCCCCGGGGACCTCGATAACCTTCTCGTGGTCCTTCCAGCTCGGGTTGTTCCGTGGCCACAGAGAGCTGCCAGCGCCGTGAGTCCTGCCATTTTTCCTGTCAAGAGAAGGTTTTGTTTCCCCCTTGAATATGCAGTGAATTTCATTAAAAAAGACTTCTCCAAAAAAAAAAAAAAAAAACCCAGGGTGTTAAGTGCTTCAAGGTCACTGACTAGAGCAGTACTAACCCTCACAGGCCAAGTTTCACTATGAGGAGGAGCCTTTATTCCTATAATGTTATTCAATGTTAACTACTGCAGTGTATCCACAGCTACCATTTTACAAACAGTTCACACAACACTGCAGAACAAGAAGCAAAGGTCTGTGAAAAAGCCCTGTAACCTGAGTGTAGGTGTGAGATGGGGTTAGGGTGGGCAGGTAGGTGCTAACAACTCAGCAGAAGGGGAAAACAGGTAGGCTCATGAACAAAACCATCAGAATAAAAGGACATAAGAAAAATCTACTAGAATTGAATTCTTGACTGCCTAACAAACAGGACTAGGGCTAGTTTCCCATTCTAGTATATTTTGTAGGATAAGCATTTTATCATCTACATATGTTCATTAAAAATTCAACAAGAACAACAAAAAAATACCTGTATTTCTGTTACTGCTGCAGTAGGAACATCAAAGCAAACACCCTAGAAATCAAAGCAAATATGAAAGTTAATCCAGCTTCTGACTTTTCCTCCTATACCCATTCAGCCCATGTCTCTGTCCACGTTATCTATGCACACAGGTCACTATTTACCGCTACCCCCACTTTAGCCCGTGCATACTTCCCTGTCTCTTTACCTGTCTTCATCATTCTTCTGCCCACTTCCCTCTTGTATATTGTCTTGGTTCATCTTTAAGGTTTTACCAACTCCTCCTTAAAATGCTGATCCATCTAAAAACTATTGTTTTAGGTGGAGCAGCATTTCTATAAATTTGCTGCAAAGCATCAATGATTCAGAAAATTGGTATTAGCCCTGAACGCAAAACCATTTCCCCCCACCATACAAAAAGTAACCTTTTGTTTTGAAGGCACCCTAATGAGATTAAGACAAGGATATCATTGAGAGAATTTATCTGCATCCACTCATCAGAGACATATTTAAACATGGATTAATTAGACCAGTACATACATGTATGAAGCAGAACCCTAATAGCAATGCATTCTGATCTACTCATGTATGGCAAATGAACAGTTAGCCCAAACCCAAGCCCACTGTTGCCCATTCAGAGTCAAGACAGAATAGAACTGCTTCATCGGGTTTCTAAGGCTATAAATCTTTACAGAAGCAGACTGGCATCTTTCTTCCTCAGAGTGGCTGGTGGGGGGTTCAAGACGCTGACCTGATGGTTAGCAGCTGAGCACCTGCATCCACAGCCCCAGCAGGGCTCCCATAGAAACAAAAACCTATGGGGTCCTCAATATTTGGTAGGATTGTAAGGAGCCATGAGACCAAAATATCTGAAAATTGTTGTGCTAATATTCTATGTCATTAATAGAATAGGATTCAAAGGTTATAGGCAGGCAGCTAAGTCAGATGGAAATTCTACTCTGTTAACACATGAGGTCACCATGAGTTAGAAGGAGTTAGATTTTCAAATATGATGCCACCAGCAGAATGCTTCAGGCTGGAGATACAGACAGTTGGCAAATGAGGGCCACAAATGAAAATGCCTAGAGAAGAAAATAGGAAGTCCCCGGGCTACAAAAGTCTAACCGGCAATTACAAACCAACCCCACAAGGCCTATTATATTATAAACATTACAATGGTTAACATGCTTCAGAACATTATTGTTATCGTATTATTATGTTAAAGACATTTTTCCTGTATCTAGAAGTGTTTCCGTGATGTTTTTATACCTACAGAGGTATATACCCAAATAACAAATATTTGATATGAACCATATATGAACTGTACCAAACTGTTCTACTGTGTTTTCTCGAGCACACAGATGCTAAACCAAAGTGAAGTCATGATAGGAGCCCCCAGCCTTACCAACTTTCCTTTGAGAAAGACCATTCCCTTCACTTTGGAATCGATCTGTTCGCCCAGCTGCTCTTTAAGCTCTTTCCAAGCGTAACTAATGTTTGACATTTCAATCGAGCACTTCAAGATCATGGTCACAAAGCCCTTATGGAAGAAAAAATAGCAAATTAAAGTCTCAAAGGCAAGTCTAGTTAATAAACATGGGCCCTGGTGTTTTAAAGTAATTTCTATCAAAGTTGTTGCTAAAACCATGTACACCTTCATGCACACACACAGTACACTAGAGACTTGGGCACTTTGATTAAGACTGGTGAATTGTGTCAACATCACTATTATGGGTCATGATATTTTGTTGCAGTTTTGTAAATTGTTGCCATTGGGATAAACTAGAAAAAAATATACAAAGAACCTCGGCACTATTTTTTAAAACATGATGTGAATTTAAAAAATTATCTCAATTAAAATTTCAATTAAAAAAAGGGAGAAAAAGTATACACTGCTAAAGCGTCTAAGTAAACAAATGTGTATTTAGTTTTGGGTTTTTAAATATCGGATAGAATTCACACCATAAAATTCACCATTTTAAATGTACAATTCAGCTAGTTGGTTTTCGTACACTTGATAGATTACATAATCTTCACCACAGTACTTTCATTATTCCAAAAACAAACACTATGCTCAGTGGAAGTCACTTCTCATTCCTCCCTCCACCAGGTCCCGGCAACCACTAATCGGCTGTCTCTATGGAATCATCTGTACATATATACACGTGCAGATGGATATGTGTGTGTTTAAACATGGAAATATACATTTAATGCCATTCTACCATCATGAGAAAGCTCAAATAATTGGGGAGTATAAATAGAACACTTTCAAATTCTTACTCAAACACCAAATAAACACCAAAGATAAATTGTCAAAGATAAATTTGAGGAGCTTTACCACATCCAAATTGATCATCGAGCGCTGGTCTACCGCAGTGGCACCAGAAATATGGGCAAGTGCTGCGGCCAGGGCTTCCACAGCCCCCTTCTCCTCTATCAGTTTCTCAGCTGACTGCTTGAAGTGACTAATGGCAGTAGGAGGCACAGAATCCAAATACCTGTAGTTTATTATTTGTAAGAAAAACAATGGCAAAAAGAGGTCAAATTTAATTCAGAATATACCTCAAAATGAATTACAAACTCTCCCAAGTCAAATTTCAAATTTTGCATGTATGGAACACCTACCTCATTTTGATACAATGTATAGAATCATACATATATATGTTATTGTTAAGTGCCATCAAGTCAGTTTCAACCCATAGCGACCCTGTGTAGGGTTTTCGAGGAGCAGCTGGTGAGCTTGAACCACTGATCTTGCAGTTCCAATGGCTTTGCAGTCTGGTCATTTAATCCACAGTGCAACACCAGGACTCCATATATATAAAATTGCCACACATTTAATACTGAAGATTGTTAAAACAGTCAATGTGCCCACTTTAAATGGCAGAGTTATATATAAGCATATTCTTATGGTAATCAATATCTTTGTATGCATCTCATTTACACTATGTACACATACACACACACAGAGGCAGAGAGAGTGCGTGCACACACTAGTGCTATACGATAAGTATTAGAGTGGTAATTACAAGTTTGGTGGTTTAAACCCACTATGAGTTACAACTTACTGGATGGCACTTAACAATAACATCTTACTGATACTTAGGGAGCGCTATGGCTCTGTATGACAAGCATTGGACTGCAAACTACAAGGTCAGTAGTTTGAACCACATCAGCCACTCTGTGGGAGAAAGAGGCTTGGACTGCAAAGTAGGTTTGAACCACCAACTTTGCTCAACAGCTGCTCCTTGGAAACCCTATAGAGGGTTGTTATGAGTCAGAACCAACTGACAGCACTGAACACAGATACACACATACATTTATGTGATTTAACTTTTCTTATACGAACTTTTGAAGCCCTCTTAAACATTTCATTCTATTCAGAGAAACAGGATTTGAAGTTATATACCAATATAGTGAGCATGCATTACTTATGGAACCAGGAAGTACTACGGTTATTTCCATTTTGAAATAAAGCAAAGAAAAAGGCTCCAAATTAGATTTTAAGTTATAAAGGCCTTGATGAGACTATGGATGTTGTAAGTAAAAACACAAGCCTCATTACTACACAAAGAACAAGCACACAAAAAAACCCAAGACCACAACAGTAGTAGGAAACATACCTGATGGCATCTTTACTGGAAGCTTTTATTATTTCTGTTGCAGAAGGTACACCTATTCGTTTGAATTTAATTCCCTACAACAAAATGAATCATAATTTAATGTACAATGTGACTATCGGCTGTTTCCACTGAGATTCATAGCCTTTCAATCTTTTCCATATACTAAAAACTTGTAACTTTTAGTTACAAAAGTAGAACAGTGAATTCTTAACATTTTCCATTTCTATGGTGTGGCACTGTAGGATAAGCACAGGGTCGCTATGAGTCAGAACCAACTGGACAGCACCAACAACATGGCACAGCTGTCATAACTAAGAAGCCATCATAGCCTCATAACATTAACTAAACTCCAGATGTGAACTGGATTAGGTTTATTCAGTCTTTTCCAGTCCCAGGATTCCGTCCAGTGTACCAGGTTACAGTTAGATGTCACATCTCCTTAGGCTCCTATGGGCAGGGATGCTCTGTCTCTCCTGGTTTCTCACAACATTCACAGTTTTAAGACGTTCAGGTTAAGCATTTTTGGAACACCTCTTAATTTGAGATTGTCAGAGGGTTTTCTTATGGTTAAACTAGAGTTGTTATGGGCAGGGGCAAATTGATTATCCAATAAGCAAAGTAAGCAATATGTGATGAAAATAATGTGAAATTGTTCACTACAGATTAATAAGTAAACACAAGGAAGCTCATGCTTATCTTGCTAACTGGGTACTCCATCACTGTCAGAGATGATAGAGGATTTGATTCTACAGGGAAGTGCTATGGGGCATGCAAGTCATACCTTGCAGCAGAATCTTAGATATGGTTTGAAAAAAAAAAAAGGTTGCACAAGAACACCCACACTTGCAGATGACACCCACGTGACTGGGACTGGATGATCACAGCTCAACCAGGAGAAGAGAGAAGAGGGGGGTGGAGGGCAAGAAGATTGAGCTGATCCAAGCTGATGAACTTGACCTATGCACACGAATGCAGTGACACAAAAGAGGCAACAAATCCTTACAGCAAAAAACATTCCCACCCCCTCCACACACAGAGTACACAGAGAGGGGCAACTTGGACATTGGATACCCAAATGGGGAGGGAGGGACTACAAAGGCAAGAAGTAACTGGCTTACAAGCTTTCAAGAGGGAACCTAGAGCTAGGGGGCATGGAGGAAGGCAGAATCACCAGTGAGTACTATCCAATTTGTTTAGGTGGAGCTGATGAAATGAAATATAGATGGGTTACGTGCGATACTGTAGCGAATAATGGTTATCAAGACGGATTGTGAGTGTTGGAAATACAAGGGTAGATGTTCTGTAGCAAGGAAGAGAGCGATTATTTCTCCAGTCTAGGAGCGGAGGTCTCTGGGACCACCAACGGATAAGAGCCGAGAACGGGACCCCACCCAGAGAACCGGGGATGCCTGAGATGGAGACAGAGATGATTATATGGAGGGATGAAGTGGCTGGGGACTTTGGATCCAGAGAGGGACAGGAACTGTGGGCCGAAGACTGAGGGGGTAGAGGGGAGTGTAGAGCATGGACTTCTAGGATATGCCCTTTGGTCGGAAGACGATGCATGGAGGGGATTTGAACCATGGCAATGTAATGATATACGATGGAATGAATATGGAACTGAGGTTCTCTCATGTAAACTATCATATAATTCATGATAAAACATTAAAAAAAAAAAGGTTTACTACAAATTAGTAAGCAAGCCCAAGTAAGATATTGCATATTAGATAATTCAACACTGGTTATAGGTCCAAGAGGAGAATAACAGGTCTACACTTTCTTCAGGAATCCTGGTGTGGTGCTGTGAGCTAATGCATCAGACTGCAAAGTTGTTTGAACTGCAAGGTCAGTGGTTTAGGCTCACCAGCTGCTTCTTGGAAATCCTATACTGGGTCGCTATGGGTCAGAATCGACTCCTTAAAAACAACTGTTCTTCAAGAGTACAGTTTTCTGCTGATTAAGCTCACTTTAGTCACCTGGCCCAAGCAGTATATGCCAAGTTTCTCCACAATAACAGTGGTTAAACGCTTGGCTGCTAACCAAAGGGCCAGCAGTTTGAACTCAACCTGAGAGAAAGATAGGCCGACAGCTTCAGTTCTGGAAACCCTATGGTGCAGTTCTACTCTGTCCTACAGGGTTGCTATGAGGAAGAATTGACAATAAGTGTGGCTTGGTTTCTAACGTCATTCTGGTATATTCTCATTGTCTGACTCCTTCCTTTGAAACATCAAAACATTCCTTGCGATTAAAACATGAAGGAGCCACTGCTTTCAGATGTGAGCTTTACATTGTGAGACGACCTATAAAAAATACCATGCATCTAACAGCATACTTTTATTCACTGTTACACGCTAGGAATAAAAATAATTTATAGTGTAACAGAAATCAAATAAAGAAACCAAAGCTTGACTTAAGAACCCAACATCTAGTTGAATGAGAACTAAGATAGCTTTACCGCTTTTTGCTCCACTTGTGCCAATTGATATTCCTCCTTGTACTGATAAAAGCAGATGCAAATGCCGGTCCTTCCAGCTCTACCGGTCCGCCCAGAACGATGAATGTATGACTCTACATCCTAGTGAGGCAAAAGACACAAAGAGACCTGAGCAGTCTATTCTCCCAAGGTGGTGGTTAGATACCTGAGCATGTATAGAATTATTTCCAAAACCATTAACATTTCAATGTTGTCAATATGAAAAATTTATCAATGAGATACTTTATATTCGTTTTACAACATAAGTTTCAACACCTGTGAGACCTTCCCAGCCTATCCTCTGTAAATGTTCTGTTGTTGGAACACACAGTGAAACATACACCAGTCCATCAGTCTCTATATGCACAATTCAGTGACACTGACAAGGCTTTAAGTTGTGCAGCCATTCTCACCCTCCTTTTCTGAGTTGTTTTACTTCTTAAACATAAAATCACTGCCTCTTAAGGGTCTTATCTAATTTTTCCATTGTTGTTGCACATTTGATCCCATGTAGATAGTTCTTTTAAAAAGCATAATGCTTAATACAGGCCCCAAGTTTTTGTCCTTTTAAAAGAATTAGTTAAGATAAACTATTACTTGATTTTAAGATGACATCAGGGGATACGTCTGGTTTAAGGTTTAAAGACTATCTCAGGGCAGTAGTTTCAAGGGTTCATCCACCATATTCTATGGCTACAAAAAGTCTATAGCCTATGAGAGTTTGAAATTCTGTTCTTTTTTTCTCCTTTTTTGATCTGAAGTTTCCCATGGCATCTAGGATCAAAATGTTCAGTATGTAGCTAAGCACCACACAGTTGTTGTCTCATGGCAAAGGAGGCCATTAGCTCCAGGTGAATAGATAACAAGTGTGCCCTGGATAGCTGTGCGCAAGCTTTCAGATACTAAACAAGTTATTTGGCCAATTCACTAGATGTCCCATGAAACCATGACCTAAGCCTCCAAGCCAAGGAACCAAATCCCATAAGCAGTCCCAGCAGCTACTCTTTCTTTCTGTTGTTGTTGTAATGGATCTACACCACACGCATCTTGTCAACTCAACTTTATACAGGCGTGCAACTTAGTCCGATAATCAACTATGCAACCCTACTCTTAATCAACAGGATTTCCCCGTATCAACAATAGCCTTTTCCTTTCCCTCCCCTAATAAATTTTAGTCTCTGTATCTTTGCCTTTTTTATTATAAACATACAACATGTTTATTTTAAAATTCACCTCTAGCATCCAAAAAATAACTATTACTAATATGAAAGTAAAAGAAAATATTTTTAATTTTCTTTAGTACACAAAAGAACCAAGTAGAGGCATAAATACGTACCTTTGGTGGAGAGCTTTGTACAACCAGATCAACCTCAGGGATATCTAGCCCACGTGCAGCAACATTGGTTGCCACCAAAACTCCAAAACTGCCGTTTCTGAAACCTTTCAGGGTAATTTCCCTTTGTTTCTGTGGAATATCTCCATGTAATGACTGGGCATCCTGCCGAAGAGATATGTGAGTGTTAGAATACTCCACCCAACAATACAGGTTAGACCCACAGACATTCACATTTGGTGATACTCCTGCTGAAAAAGGGAGAAATACGTGCCTAAACGGAACATGCCTCAAACCTATCAACTGTACTGAACTGCATACACCAACGCAGAGCACAGACCACAACAGGGACCACAGCTCCTCTGTCGCTGTGGCCTGGGGTTTGCACCATCCTACCCTCATCTGTAAAATGAGATGGACAGATCAGATGAGCCCTACCATGCACATTCCTCCCATTTCCAACCTACAATACACTAGTCGTCACTGAATGTATAAAAAACTACCTAAGCAAAGCTGTGCTCAAGGTAATCATTTGTTGATGGCCCAGTTCGTGAGCACAAAAGGAAGGCCCAACCTGCTTTATTGACGAATTCTGTGACAGCTCCTGGGCTTCTTTCTTGGTTTCACAGAAGATGATCGTGCGCCCATGGTAACCACTGTACACGCGGATCACATCCCCAATGACTGCTGCCCTGTGGGTCCAGTGGCACTTGATAGCCAGATGCTTAAAATACAATGAAAATTGATGAAAACCTTGCTACGATCTAGGATTACCTGGTCAACACTAATGATCTAACAGCTCTGGTACCATAAGCACAATGGGAGCAGACTCCTGCCACAACTGCCTGCTGCTGTATTATCAAGTTGGTTCCGATTCGCAACAATCCTGTATAGGGATTCCCAGGCTGTACATCTTTATGAGACCAGAAAGCCTCATCCTTCTCATGTAGAGCAGCTAGTGTATTTGAACCACTGACCTTTCAGTTAGTAGCCCAACACTTAACCCACTATGTTATCAGGACTCCTTGCCACAAGTGTTTAGAGAAAAAAATCAACTATAAAAACAGAGAGTAGCATGGCTTGTCCCTCTACACCTCCCCTTCCTCCAAAGAACATTTGACTTTATTTCTGATAACAAGAGTAATGTAGGGAAGAAAATATGGTTGCCTAGATCCCAACTGGAAATCAAGTAACTGAAAAACGTTTTGTCCTTTCATCTACTTAGAAAATGCAGTCAACAGTCAGTTGCTGGACAGGTCTACTCCACAGGTGAAAGAAATCCATCTATGTACTGAACCCTAAGACTAAAACAATCTCAAAGGAAGCACTAGATTTCCCTGCTATCCTCTAGTGTTTATTAAATTTTAAGTGTAACTTCTTTCTGTTTATACATCAATTCAGACAGATACAGGTTCCCAAAGACTCTGAAAAGACAGGCTACCAGGTGATGTCTTTAGAAAATACAAACAGTATATAATGCTCAAATAGATAGATAGCTTTACTTGGCTTTTCACATGGATTTTATTTCTCTCTGGGGAAAAAAGTTTTCATTTGTTAGTCTTTAGTACTACCACATAGGAAGCAAAGAATAAACAAATGATTACTAATTCCAGCAACCAAACATATCATTTACCTCCACAGTTATTGCCGTTTTCTGAGTCTTTTTACCAATGAGGTCCACCTGCTCATATGTAGGCTTCATGTATTTCTTCGCAACATTAAATACCCAGTGAGGACAAGTTGCAGAAAAAAGCAGTGTTTGGGGATTGTCTTCTGAATCTTTTGAGGTGAAAATAAGTTAGTGTGAGTACCCTGAATGAGCGCACACAGCATTCTCTCCTCACCCAGCACGACCAAGGTTAGTAACATTCAACAGCAACGGCACGACGTCATGGTCCATGCAGACATGAGGGCTCAAAAAGTGAAAGAGAATTTTCCCAATGGGGAAACAGAAGAAATACTGTGAAAATAATTTATGTAAATGTTTCCCCAAGTCCTAAAAGCATTCTAACTTTAGCGCTTTCTGACTATTGGTTTCTGTGAACCAACCACAAGGAAAATCTGCACATCACAAGAATTACCATCTGAGAAACACTAGTTCATTAGGTTCAGTAACCACTGTGTATATAAGGAGGCTTCAAAAGCTCATGGAAAAAAGGAATTTTTCCATGATCTTTCTGAAGATCCCTCATATGTACCCCCGCAAACAGCCTAAAATAAGCACCAGAATAGATTCTATGCCCCCTAGCATTTCCTCAGTTGTGTGAGCCCTGAACCCCAGTCTATTTATTGAGTCCAGCTACCTACGTCTCTCTCCCTAAGCCCTACCTTTTAGTTTGCTACAGTACTACTGCATTCTCATGTATATTAAATGGCACATTTAAGGAGGGAGAATCTTACCCTTCGGAAAGCATTTGAGGAGCATGCTCTATTAACTTGTACCCTTAATTCAGTAATTTCACTTCTAGAAATCTCTCTGAAGCACTTCTAAACTAAATATTGATCCAGGTGCAAGAGAAGCTACTTGTATAAAAATGTCTATTTTTGTTTTTAAGTGCCGTAAAGTCAGATCCAACGCACAGTGACCCTGTATAGGGATCCCGAGAAGTGGCTGGTGAGTTTGAACCACTGACCTTGTGGTTCAAATTAACCTTATGGGCCAGTACTTACACTATAACGCTACACCAGGACTCCAAAAAGCAAGTATCTGAAGCCAGTAATATATATTTTTTTCTTTACCAAAATTTCCAATTGTGATTTTAAGATTTTTTTGTTTTGTTTTAAAATTCATGTTTTCTGAAGCCCCTCTTCATTTCTTAGGGTTTAACTAATAGGAAGTCTGCTCTTCCTCTGGCTCCTTTGCTCACTTACCTTTCTTATATGCCACACATAAAATCTCTTCCACTTGGTCAGCAAAGCCCATATCCAACATCTGGTCCACTTCATCCAGGACAACATGCTTAAGTTTGGTGAGGTCTAGCTTGCCATTCTGTAGGTGGTCTTTGATACGACCTGGCGTCCCAACGAGGATGTCAATCCCATTCCGCATACGATCAACTATAAAGAATACCAATGATAAGATTTGCTGGGCTTTAAAGTAAGTTCTTGTATGAGCCTGGGAGTACCAATTAAATACATTTTGTCCCACGGATATTTATAAAATTGTAAGTCCAAGGTAATACGCCTAGTAATGAAGATAAAGACATTCAGGGAGCTCCTAATCTAGTGAGGGAATGTCAAAAATGTCAGTGCCAAGTCTTCACAAAGTTGAATAAAAATGTTAAGGAATTAGAAACTTTCTACATAAAGTGAGCATGCAGAGGATGAGTCAAGATGGGAAGGCAAGTATTCCAAAAAGGTGATTTTGTTTTGTTTGCCTTTTTAAAGCTTTTATTGTAAATTGATAGTTTATATGTGAGAACATCAGTTTTGCACCCATCCTATTTTGTTTCATTGTAATGATTACAATCCCCTCCATGCATTACCATTCAACAGTATTTGCTTCTATTCAGATTTATTGTTTTCTGATGTACACAAAAACACTCAGGAATATATAATCATTTAAACAAACCAAGAGGACGTTCTGCAAGCCTGCCTCCTGGCCTCCAGCAAATAGCCTTTCTCTTTCCATGAGTCTAGACTTCTCAGTTGCTTTTTCTCTCCCCATGTCCTCATCTCTGCCTCCATCTCTGGTGTTGCTGCTTCTCTGGATAGGGCCCCACATTCTGCTCATGTTCTTATCCCTTGATGGTCCTAGGGTCCTCTGTTCCTGGAATGTAAGACTAACTAATTCCCCCTTTATGGTACAAAACTTCTATCTTTACAGTTGTGACGGTCGCAATTAGTCATAACAATTACTCACGCTATTGAGTCATAATCTTATCCCTATCTCTTTTCACCAGAGAGGCTAGACAAGATGAAAACTATTCAGTGGGGATTTTACCTTCCCCTGCACACTCTGAAACTAAACTTCCTCTTGAAAACTTATAAACTATTCCCTTCGTTCCTTTATAGCCCCATTTTAGGTAGCCAACATCTAAGTTGCCCGCCCCTATTCACCCTGCATACGGAAGAGATAGGACTGACCCTTGATGTGAAGACTCCTTCCCTCTCCGCTGGTATTTTGAGTTACTACATCCATAAGTATAGGTCAAGTTCATCAAACTGTACCAATTTATTCTTGCCTCCTTTATAAAATTTCTTTATTTTCCTCTATTTGAGTTGAGATCATCAAGCTATCAAAGCTAAGGCAAATGGATATTATCTGCAAGTTTGGGCATTCTCGTGCATCTCCCCTCACTTCATTATCAGCTGGACGCTGCACTCTCAGCTCTAGCCTCCCCGTGGCTATGTCCTTGTCCATGGGCTCAGGTGTCCCCAGGTCTCATCACACTTTGGACCAACCAGCCCTTCTTATTCTCTTGCTCATCTCCAGGTTGGCCAGTCTATGGAGTGTAGTGTAACTCAGCCCATTTCTTCACTTGCTGCTTTTCTCCCACTTCCACTCACCAGTAGACCAATGTGGTCGCCAGTAAGCTTTAATGCCTGTGTGTGTGTTCCCTTTAAGTTTTAGTCTTGTCCTGAAGGGACTTGATTGCTTATATGAATGGCTCCCTGGTGTACAACTTGTTCTTGTAGTAGTCAATCAGACTGCTACCAAAAAGGTATTTTTAAAAACTGTTAATTCTGATTCATGGAAAACCCACTGTGTTAGAATAGGGTTTTCAATAGTGGATTCCCACCTCCACCACTCCCAAAGAAGGTTGCTAGACCTTTCTCATGAAATTCATGTGGGTTAAAAATCTGTAACTTTTTAGTTAGTAGCTGAGCACATTAACCCATTTGTACCACCCAGGGGCTGCCCCAAAGAACATTGAGATGTGGATGAGTGTAGTGTGCTCAGGGAAACGGTGCCCTCTATGACTGGGATGAGATGGTCATCATGCAGCTTTTAACTAAACCCAATGAACTCGTGGGAATTAGGCACTTTACATATATTTTCCAACTCAATCCTCACCACCCCCAGCAGGGTAGGTTTACTAACTCTATTTTACGGATATAAACAATTAAGCTCAGAAAAATTAAGTAACTTGAAAAACCACTACACAGACGTCATTGTTGTTGTTGTTGTTAAGTGCCATCAAGTCGGTTCCGACCCATAGCGACCCTATACAGGGTTTCCGAGGGTGTAAATCCTTACGGGAGTAGAAAGCCTCATCTTTCTCCCGCGGAGCGGCTGGTAGTTTCGAACTGCTGACCTTAAGGTTCACAGCCCGATTCGTAACCACTACGCTACCAGAGACGTCATAGTTAGAAGAAATCCAAACAGAAAATCCAACAATGGATGGAAGTTTCCTTTCCTTACTTTTGGATTTACTTACGTTGGCCTCCATAAGGCGTTCCACCATAAAAACAAGCCACTGCCAGCTTTTTTGTGATATCACTGAAGTCTCTGCTTACTTGATTTGCCAACTCCCTGGTAGGTGCAAGAACTAGTACCTAAAAAGAAAAAACTAATAATTGAATCCAAAGTGTTGTGCAGGAATTAAACAGAAGGTTTAAGTGAATTTAGCAAGCATTTTCAAAACATCTATTATACACTTGGTTGTATTCTTTGCATGTTTGGAAGGCTCACAAATTTAGTATGATTTCTGATAAATCTACTCATAAGAAAAGTTTGTGATTATACCAGTCAGAAGAGAAACTAGATGACTACATGTATGGTGCTACAGGAGGTTGGATAGTGCAAATTGAGAGCAACTGGAGAAAGTTTAAGGGAGTTACTAGTCCTTAATAACATATACCAGAAGAGGGACAATGAACAAGAACAAAGCAGCTCAAGTTTAAACTCTAAATAGTCTCACAGTAAATTCTTTTTAAGAGGATAAATATCTTACTAAAACCAGAAAGCTAAAAAGAAACAGAGCCCAAATTCAAACTCAGACAATTAAGCTCCGTCACTTGTAATCTTAACTTCTTTATTGCATTTGGCATAGAATACTCAGGCAAGCAAGGCAGGACAGTGTATAGGACTTTGAATCCTAAAAATCTGAGTTTGACTGACCAGGGCATCCAATAAGAAACTACTATAGACCCTTGAATAGGGACCAGCATGAAATAAACTTGCTTTAAAAACAGCCACCTCATGCATTCACCCAACAGATATTTACAGAGCATCCACCAAGTTCCAGACAATAGTGTAGCTCGTAGGAACATGGAAGTAAACCAATGAAGTAATGAAGAGGGAGGCTGGCACTGGAAGGCCAGTGAGCAAGTAAGGTGAAGCCAGAACAAGCGCAAGAGCCACAGCTAAGGTGGGAACATGGTACACAACTTGACTAAAGACATATAGCTACTCTGTAAGTAGAGTCTAAAATCAAACCCTACCTCCTATGCTCATGCTACCAAAGTTATTCAGTACAGTTAAGGTTTGTTAAATGCCAAATTCTCCAGAAATGAGCCCAACAAACACATCCCAATAAGGGGGTGGGCTTTTCCCATCTGCAAGTGCCACTCCTCATAGTCATCCTTCTTTAGGAAAATTGCTGCTGCTGCGTGCCATCAAGTTGGTTCTGACTCACAGTGACACTGTAGAGGGGTTCCAAGGAAGTAAATCCTTATGGGAGCAGAAACACAGGACTAAATCTGTGAGCCCCAGGAACATCAACTAGTCTGATAGGAATACGGCAAGGGTTAGTAATACAGTTGAACACAATCAAAGGACAGATCACTATATTTAGAAACATGGGGGCTTCAAAGAGTTTGTGGGGGGGGAAATTCCAGTATTTTAATTTAAAATTTCCATGACCTTTTTGAAATCCTTTTGTACAGGGTTTAGCCAACATTTCAACACCAGAGATGTTTCTCCCCATTCTGATCTAGAGTCCGTGATGTCTGTGTTTTAGTTACCTGAGGGGCACGACCTCTCTTCCTGTCTTGTAGTTCTCCCTGAAGCTTCTCAATCAAGGGGATGGCAAAGGAGAAGGTCTTCCCAGTTCCTGTGCGTGCCTGTGCAATCAAATCCTTCCCACTGTAGACATGATGAAATGTCTTTGCTTGGATAGGGAACAGGAAGTTCACCCCACGGGCTGTGAACAAATTAACCTTGTTACCTGATACCAGGCAGGCAGACAGAGGCAGTAAAGGTTTCTGATTCTGCAAAATTGTCACCAGGGCTCCTTAAATTGAACTGCACTCAACAAATCAGAAAACACCTATAGTTGAGCATCTGTGACTAAATGCTAGTGCACAGGCAGACCTGGTAAGGGAGGTGTTCAGTTAGACCGCCCCATCAATCTGGAGACACCTCAAGACGTGAAGAGGTTAAAACAGGAACCATTAACACGCCATCAGTCAACTGGTTAGTTTCACAGCACCTTCACTCAGTACACTTCTGAATGAATGCTCATGACTGAGGAGCAAGGGCCAGTACAGCCCTAACTGCACATGTGTCTCTATCATATGACTGCAGAAGAAAATACTTCTGAATGAACATTCATGACTGAAGAGCCATTATAGCCCTAACTGGACATGTGGCTCTACCACTTTGTATGGCTGCAGAAGAGTAAGACCATACCCTGGTTCATTGCAAATACATAGTGGTGTGCTTCAAGTTAATTACAGACACAGTATTTCCAAAGATATTACCTTTGAGAAGTTTAATAGTCACTTCAGATATGGGAAAATTAGAGAAGGCTCCTTCTTTTTGTTCCACTGGTATTTCCTACCAAGTAAAGGATTACAGCATTAGAAATAATCACTTTGTCCATAAAATTAATATAGAGAAGTCCTCCAAGAGATGAAGGAGCCTATTCTAAAACAGCCCTTTCTAGATACATTCATTCAAAATCAACCAAAGAGACACACAAGTCTTGAAGATTAATTGAGAACTGAAAAGGAGCTTAGAAAAAAATTGCAGCAAATATATGAGGGGGTTGTCTAAAAGTTCACGGAAAAATTCCATGATCTTTTTACTCAATAATGAAAAGCCATTATGTCCAAAAGGGAAAAACTAAACAAATTTCAAAACATTCATTTGATTATATAACCATTAAAAACTTATATGCAGTTAAGTCAGTTCAAGGTTTCCAAACGGAACCTGGTGGATTGAACCACCAATCTTGCTTATCCTACAGCGCCACACCAGGACCCCCCCTTTGTTGATTTATTGACTTGCAAATAAGCAGACTAAAACTAAACAGACCTGCTTATTTATTTATAAAGGAGGCATTCTGATATGATGTAATTTATAAAAAAAAAGTCTCAGCCTGAAGCTCAAGGGACCCACATAAAATGCTGACACAACAAATACTCTACCACTTAAACAGACTTCATAGGAATTTACTTATTTACCTGAATGAAAACACCCTCTTCATCTACGAAAACACAACTTTACCTGTTCTAGCTCACTGTTACTTTCTTCACTAGTTGCTTCCTTAGCGTTAGAGGCAGGTCCAGAATGAGAGAGTCCATTCTTCAGTTTGGGCGTTTTCTCTCCAATCTCTCCATTCATTGCTTTTTCTTTCTTTATCTTCTTGGGCTTAGGAGCATCCATTTCTTCTTCAGGAGGCTCCTCATTTTTTACCGTTTTTTTTACTTTAGGAGAAATGACTTGATTTTCAACAGGTTCCGTTTTCTTTTTCGCACTTTTGGTTTTCAAAGGAGTAATGCCATCATGGGATTGCTCCTCTTTCTTTTTGACCTTTTTAGATTTAGGAGAATCCAATTCAACGTCAGAAGGCTCTGCTTTCTTTCTCATTTTTTTAAGTTTGGGAGAAATCATTTCATCCTTTTCTTCTGCGAACTCTTCGATCTTTTTTGATTTTAGTTTGTCTTTTTTAGTTTTCTAAAAATAAAAAATAAAATGTTGAACAAAGCATCTACACATTTGCACAAACATCAATTCTGAATTAGTTCAAGATGGTTGTTACGTGGTGCCGAGTGTCGGTTCCGAGTCTTAGCAATCCTGTATAGGGTTTCCGAGGAGCAGCTGGTTAGTTTGAACCACCGACCTTGTGGTTCAGTGTTTATCCTACAATACTACACCAGGATTCCAGTTCAAGATTACTGAAATCAAATATTCATAATTGATTTGGGATGCTCTGATATGCTCTAAACCAAATATTACTACAGAGTCATTAAATATAATTCAAAGTTAATATGAAAAATTGTTAAGTGCTGCCGAGTCAGTTCAGACTCATAAAGATCCTATGTAGAGCTTCTAAAGAGAAGCTGGTGGGTTTGAACTACTGATCTTAGGGTTCAAGTGCTTATCCTACAGTCAGAACCAACTGGACTGCACTTAACAACATATGAATGTTGGTGAGGTGCTATAGGATCAGCATTGGACTGTGAACCACAAGGTCAGCAGTTCAAACCCACTAACTGCACCCCAGACACACTATATACAGTATTGCTGAGTCCGAACCAACTTGATGGCACTTGGCAACATGACTGCAGATGGATGGTGTTTTAGCAGATTTCATTTCTTTCCATGTGCTGGTAAACAGATTAATAATAGCTGTCTTTATGGAGTTCAAACTCAATCGACTTATATGAAGATACTTTTGAACCAAAGTTCAAATCCCACAACTTATCCCCTCATGCATAAAAATTATGTACCTATAGTGGTATCCTGTTGAGTCTGTTCTAACTCACTGTGACCCTGTCAATAGTCACAGTGAGCCTGTCAATCTTTACAGGCACAGAAAGCCCAACTATCTCCTGAAAGCGGCTGGTAAATTTGAACTGCGGACCTTCTAGTTAGCAACCCCCAAGTAATCACTATTTTACCGGGGTTCCAATACAAGGAATTTGTTGTTGTTAAGTGCGGTAGAGTTGGTTCTGACCCACAGCGACCCTGTATAGAGTTTCCAAGGAATGGCTGGTGAGCTTGAACCACCGACCTTGAGGTTCAAACCAAGCTTGCAATCCAACACATTAGCCCACAGTGCCACACACCACCAGTAATGAGGAATGAAATTCTTAAACCAAGACACAAGGCTAAGTGAAATTAGATCCTCTGCAACCTTTCACATTGTTGTTGTCCAGTGCTGATCTTACAGCACCAAACCAAAAACTTCGATTTTGACAGGTATTGTAACCTCAAAAGCATTTCCCAGGCAGAAGACTAGCCTTCAAAGAAGGTACACTATTTTTCCTTTCAACACTTGTTCCCATCAAAAGAGCAGGTTTCCATCATCAATGAGTCTCTTTGGGAATATAATGGAGTGGTCTGTCCTTCTCAGTTTGAGCACCCCACAAAAGAACACACGAATTGATATAGAATATACAAACCAGGTCCACTACCTGCCCACCTATGGGAATAAGTATGCTCCTGGCTTCCCACAGTGTCAAAATGCTGCTACTATACAAGCTCCCAATCAAAAAGATCCAGGGAGTTGAAAAAAGATATTCAAATTCATGTACAATGAAGTCAAGGGCAATCTGTGTTCCCCATGAAGTTATCTCAGAACAGAGCTTCCATCACGAATGTAATCACCGCGCAGGAATCAGCACCAGCTGTCAATTTAAGTGAAAACTACAGCAAACTGCCGGCCTACATAAAAACGCTGCAGCATCTCTTCATTTCCACTAAAAATCTGGTCAATAAATATTAGGAGAAATTAAATGCCTTGTCTTTAAAGGGTTGTTTATCACCAAACAAAATGTACTTCCCTTTTTCGGGCAAAAATATTACTGCAGACGCCGCGAGCATTTGCCGGTCCTCCAAAGATCCTTACCCACGTGTGTAGCCAAGTTTAAGATCGCGGGGATTGGTCCCGAAAAAGCCTTGGTATTCAATGTTTAAATCTCTCGGCTACTAACCCAAAGGTAAACGGTTTGAACCCATCGGCCACACAAGTCCTGTAAAGACCACAGGCTTGGAAACCCTGTGGGTCGGAATCAACGCGACAGCAATCATTTGGTTTTAGTTTACTTCCTCAACTAAATTTACAATTCACATCCCAGAACGCTCATAACCGGGATAAACTCAGAATCGACAATGTGGGTCTTGACCGTGAACGTCCCACGAGATACGAGCGCCCTCATTCCGGGGACCACGTGGGGCACCCAGCTTGCTTTCCAGTTCCGATACGCACCGGCCTAGTTGCCGTAGCTGCGGAGGACTGGCGGATGTGTAAAAGCGGAAAGGTTTCGGCAGAGGCGGAGGAGCCCACGGCCTTCGGAAAGCACCTCCCTTCGGGGTCCCCTCTCCGAAACAAGTTCTCCCCGTCCGCCACAAGCTCCCAGCCAGCCACCCGTACCCCAGGACCTCACAGGTCTCAGCTCCCTGTCTTGCCCTGGGACCCCTCCACCTTCCGTGGCACCTTCTCAGTGTCCTTTCCCGGTATCTCCAATTTTCCCATTCTCCTGCGTGATTCCAAAGCGATGTCACTAAGGAGTTCTCCCGGCATCACTCAGCACAACCTCCTTAACGCAACCGGATTCCTCAACCGCGTGGAGAGGAAGAGATAGGAGTGCCTCGGGAGGCCACCTAGCGTCCGTCACTTCCTGTAGCAAAGCACTTCCGGGGGAAAGAAGCGGCACGATTACACTGAGGCCCACGTGGTAGGGTAATAGTACAGATTGCGGAGCCTGTTGGTTCCATCCAGCAGGCTCCTGCACAAGGTTTCCTTTCGGTTAGCAGTTCAATGCTTATCGTGTAGCGCTACACCAGGACTCTACCTGCGCGTATTTTAACTGCGTACCGCGTCTGTACTAGAGACGCCTACAGAAAGGCGGAATTGGGAAGAACCAGGAAGGTTGGCTTTGTATTTTCGCTCAAACACGGGCCAGACTTTCGCTAACCCCAACCTAACAAATGAATGTTTTTTAGTTCTCAGTAGAATTTTATACAAAATCGCTCAAATTTGTAAAGCACTTTACGTACAAATGCGCGAGGTTTTTGAACATTTTTGAGAAAAAGAATCTGAAAGTTGACGCTGCAATTCACAAGCCTAGGTAAGCGCCAAAATGAATTCATGCCTGCACTCATTCCATAATAAACATCACCTGAACTTTCATGCTGTGTCAAGCATGAGAAAAGAGCCGGGCCCTGAATCAAGTCTTGTCATGATTCATCTTTTTCAACTGAGGGGAGAGACGGTAAAGAATACTGACAAGTCTCAATTAGAAAATAACAGGAGTCCCTAGTCATGAATTAGATGAACAATGTATTAACTCAGGCAATTGAGGGAAAGTGATCTGTGAATGTTTTTAAGCTTTCTGAAGAACTTGTAATCTAAAGAGAATTGGGAGATAATGGTTGAGAGAATGAATTTGAATCATACTTAACTTTTAAGCCTACCTTTGCCACTATTTGTTGAAATTTTTGACACCTTACTTTAACTGAATCTGTGTTTCTCATGCATGAAATAGGTTACAAAATTACCTGATGTTAATAAAATTAAATAGGCAAATGGACTTGGCAGTGCACAGAGCACAATAAATGAGAGCTAGGAAAATCGGCAGCACCTCTTTAAAGTGATGTCTTTAAAAGTCTATTAAGATGACTAAGTGTGGTACTATAGGATAAGCACCATTCAAACCCACCAGTTGCTCCTTGGAAACCCTATACAGAGTTGCTATGAGTCACAGCTGATTCAACTGAACAGGTGCACCTGATCCAAGCCTGGTCTTTTCAGTTGCCTATATATATGGATATGAAAGTTGGACAGTGAAAAGACCATTGAAGAACTGATCCATTTGAGTTACGGTTCTGGAGACGAATATTTAAAGTGCCATGTGCTGCCAGAAGAACAAACAAATCTGTGTTGGAAAAATTAGAGCCAGAATGCTCCTTAGAAGCAGGGTGGTGAGACACACACAATTCAAAACTGTCTGACAAAATGTTACCAGTAGCCATTGGGAATTGATGTGATTATTCAAATTTCCAACAATAAACATGTAATACTAGTAAGAAAAAAGGATTATGGCTGCAGTGTGGCAAGACCTGGGGACTCTTGGGCCAAGAGTCAGTAACACAGCCACAGAGGACTAGAGTGGAGAGTGAAGCATCCAGCTGATAAGAAGAGAGGGCATATGCATAAGAACACCCACACTTGCAGATAATAC